ATTTGCACCAAAGACAAATTCCTTGTGTGCCCAATCACCCTTGGCCAATAAAAAGAATTCTATCCTATCCTAATTCTAATTCTAATTCTAATTTTCTCTCTAGGGATGGAGGAAGATTACCAGTTCCTGTTGTGCAACCGATGCCAGAGACAAGCTGGGAACCCCAAACTTCTCACCTGCCTCCACACCCTCTGCACCGAATGCCTCGAGGAGAACAAGCCCATCGGGCAATGCCCCGTGTGTGAAAGCCCCATCCAGACCTCGGACGGGTCCCCGCTTAAGGATAATTCGCTTTTCTCCAACCTCCAGATCAAGCTGAACACCTACCAGAAGATTGTCAGCAACGAAGTGCTGTTTTGCAACCTGTGCAAAGAAGAGGCGGAGTTTTGGTGCTCCGAGTGCTCCGAGTTCCTGTGCCGGAAGTGTTACGAAGCCCACCAGTGGTACCTGAAGCAGAAAAGCCACGAGTCCCAACGGCTGGCCGACCTGAAGAAGGAGACGGCCCAGAGTTTCCTGGAAGGGTTGAAGAAGTCTTGTACTCTCTTTTGTGCTGAGCGCAGCCACAACAATCAGGTCATCAGGTAAGTGTCATGCCCCTGTCGGAATCTAATTCGGAGGGGGAGGCCAAGCAGCTGACAGGGAGTGGGAGTGTGGCTCCGTTGGCTGTGGAGGAAACTGGGGAAGGGCAAAGTCCGGCTGGGCAGAGCAGGGGAGAGGGAGAACAAGGGAGAAGGGGTTCAGAGGAAGAGCAAGGCTCACCCTCCTCTTCATCCTAGGGCACGGAGGGAGGAACAGAGAAGGGAGCAATGTGGGTTGCATGGCTTACGGGGGAGGAAAGGGCCCTGATTCCCTTCATTAGCTGCAGCTGGGAACACGGTGTTTAAAAAGGGAAGTTGCGCACAGCAACTTGTTGGAAGCAAATCGTGAATTTATCTGGTATCATCGAGGCTTATTTGTGTTCCTGGCGTCTTCCCAACTGAGTGTGTTTGGCTGTGCTTTCACGGCTGCAATTCCTTCTCTTGCCCTGTCAGGTTAATCACTGCAATGTGGTTCGTGTGGATTTTTAGTTACAGTTTGTATGTACTCTGTTTTCGGACTGAATTTCCTCCACTTAAAGGCTGTTCCTGGGAGAGTTTTTTCTCCAGCCGAAGGTAACCTGGACATTGGGGGGCAGAGTTGGAGATAATAAAGGGACTCTTTTTGCTTATTTGACTGTGTTGCCTTTGTGCCACGCCCCTTTGGGTCATCACAGTAAGGGTCTGCACAGGGACTGGCCCTGATGATGTTACTTAGCTGGGTAATGAGATGTCTGCAAGAAAACCTGGAGGAGCTCCTCCAGTCCATGACAGGCAGGTGCACCTGGGTGAAGGAGCAGCTGCTCCGGGTTGACCGAAGGGCCAGTCCTGTGACTCCTGAAGCTCTGGAATAGGGGACCGACTTTCCCACCAATGTCAGCAAGGGGCTGTCAGTCAAAATTCACATTAGTGGTCCATGGGATTTAAAATTCTGAGTTTGGTGGTCCCTGAGGTCCAAAAGGTTGGCGGCCCCTGATCTAGGCTACTGATTGTTTGACTCCTCCCTCCCTCCTTTGGGCTCAGCCTACACCATCATGTTCAAACAGGTACTAAGCGACCGGTTGTAAATGGAAGGGAACCACTTAAAACTCTGCATTTTACTTGAAAATAAAAAATAAATAAATAGGCATCTGCAACCCTTTTCATCCGGGAAAGGACAGAAGGCAGTCAAACGTCTTTTTTGAAACCGGTCTGCTTCTGCTCAACAGCATCTATTGCCGTGGCTGCCACAAACCCCTGTGTTGCTCTTGTGCCCTGCTCGACGGAGAACACTACAACGCCAAGCTTTACAGTGACATCCAGGTGGAAATTGAGAACCGGAAGGAGGAACTGAGCAGGCTGAAGGAGGAGCTGGCGGAGAAGAAGAGGAGTTACGAGAGTAGCCACGACAGTGTCCGCGAGCAGCTCAAGAAGCTGGAGAAGGTGCAGAGCGAGACCCATGAGGTGATCCAGAAGGAGGTGGAAGACATGGTCCAGTGGATCCAGCAGAAGGGGGAGAAACTCATGGAGAAAGTGGACCGGCAACTGTGCCGGGAGCAGGAAGAAGCCAAGAAGAAGCTGACGTGCATGGAGAAGATCCTCAAGCAAATGGATGCCGGTACGCAGCTGGTGGAGAAGATGGGCCTCTTTGCCTCCGACCAAGAGGTGATAGACATGCATCCCTTCATCAAGGAGTCCCTGGAGAGGCTCAAGAAAGAGAAGCTGCCCGTTTCCAGCCTTCAGATCCAAGTGGAGAACTTCGACGAGGTCCGAGGGGAGCTCCAAGCTCTGTGTAACAGAGTCAAAGGAGAAGGTGAGCAGCTTTCAAAAGTTGAGGGGTGTTTTTTGGGGGTGGTGCTTCCTTCTGGGACGGGGCAACGGTGTCTTAAACGAAGAGGTGGAAAGGTGGGGTACTCTTCAATAGATTCCTTAACGACATAGATGAGGGAATAGAAGAGGAACTTACCAAATTTGCAGATGATACTAAGCTGGCAGGAATAGCCAACACCCAAGAAGATAGGCTCAAGATCCAGATGGATCTTGACAGACTAGAACACTGGGCCGTATCTAACCAAATGAAATCCAATGTCGAGAAAAGTCAAGTCCTACACTTAGGCAAGAAAAACCAAAAGTCCACATATAGACTGGGTGAAACCAGGCAGTAACTGTGAGGGGGATCTTGGAGTCTTAGTGGACAACCAGCTAAATAGGAGCCAGCCGTGTGCAGCGGCAGGCAAAAAAGCCAATGCAACCCTAAGTTGCATTAACAGAGGGATACAATCGAGGTCAAGTGAGGTACTAATACCACTCTATAAAGCCTTAGTAAGGCCACACCTAGAGTCCTGCATCCAGTTTTGGTCACCACATTATAAAAAAGAGGTTGAGACTCTAGAAAAAGTGCAGAGAAGAGCAACCAGGGTGATTAGGGGACTGGAGGCTAAAAGATACGATGAACGGTTGCAGGAACTGGGCCTGGCTAGTCTAGAGAAAAGAAGGACCAAGGGAGACATGATAGCACTCTTCCAATATTTGAGGGGCTGCCACAGAGAGGAGGAAGGGGGTCAAGCTATTTTCCAAGGAACCTGAAGGCCAGACAAGGAACAATGGATGAAAACTGAACAAGGAGAGATTTAACCTGGAAATAAGGAGGAATTTTCTGACAGTGAGAACAATCAACCAATGGAATAGAAGTTGCCTTCAGAAGTTGTGGGAGCGTCATCACTTGAGACTTTCAAGAAGAGATTGGACTCCCATCTGTCAGAAATGGTATAGGGTCTCCCGCTTGGGCGGGGTGTTGGGCTAGATGACCCTTCCAACTCTGATCATCTGTTATCTGTGAAAGATCATGAAGGTTCATATCTGTACCTATGTTGATGGGCAACCCATCTGGGCCCAGATCTTTAAAGGGGGGTTGTCCAATCTTGGCAACTTTTTAAGATCTGTGGACTTCAACTCATAGAATTCCCCAGACAGCCATGCTGGCTGGGGAATTCTGGGAATTGAAGTCCACAAGAAAAAGCAAGATGAGTGACAGATGGGGCCTGGAGAAGTTTTGGATGCTACAGATTGTGTAAAGTTGTTTAGGAATTGGTGCTGAACCCCTGGTGTCTCTTTCAATGGAAGACTTGAGATAAAACCTTAGGCATGACTTCAACCCATACTTTGCTCACCTCAATCTACTCTTAATTGTCTGTTCTGTTTGTAGATGCTTGTGGGTGTACAGTTTCCACGCCCAGATCTCACAGTTCCGTGGTCAATTCGGTAAGCTGGATTTGGATGGACGTGGAAGTGGAATCTTGAATCAAAGATGGTCCATGCGGTGCTTGGCTTGGGTCTGCATCACAGGATGCTATTTCTTCCCCTATCCTGAAAGGTCCCTTCTGGAAATGGGCAGAAGGTTGATTAGGGACTCCTAGTTGGTCACTGATGGATTTGCAGTTGATCAAAAAAGATCCTTAACGAGGGCGAAACAATTCTCGAAGTTAGACAGTTAGAATGTGAGCTCGGTTGGCATCCATTTGGAGCTGCAGGTTCAGGAATGAGTGTGAACGTGTCATATTTTGGAGGCCAGCCCAAAGATCTGTCTTTTGGGCCAGTGTTTCTCCATCTTGGGAACTTTTTAAGATTTACAATTATTTCTTGCTGGAAACAGGATAGAACAGAATAGAATAGAATTATGAGAAGGGAATGCAGAATAGAAGAGAATTATGAGAATAGAATAGAATTATGAGGAGGGAATGCAGAATAGAATAGAATTATGAGAAGAGAATAGAATTATGAGAAGGGAATACAGAATAGAAGAGAATTGAGAAGAGAATGCAGAATAGAAGAGAAGAGAATTATGAGAATAGAATAGAATTAAAGAAGAGAATGCAGAATAGAAGAGAATTGAGAAGAGAATGCAGAATA